TGCTGAACTAATTATCGCCCGTGACTCTTTACCACTTCGCTGCTGTTACGGATGTTCCCCCTCAAGTGCTGGAAGGGCGTTCTGTTATTAGAACTGATGTGACTCGCATGGCATTCAGTCTTCTCGGATGAGCACAAGGTAAGAGGGAGGCAGCTGACCTCAGCCAAAGCAATATGCTTTGCCTTCAGCCAGCTATGGGCAGCGTGTGGGTATAGCAAGGCACAGAACTGTACCTCATTGAAATTCTGAAGACGTGCTAATCGCATCACCTACCCTGCTTTGCCTTCTTGCATCAAAGGCTTGTCTTCTCTATCCTGATTTCTTAATAAAGATAATGTATTTTATTTATATATTTATTTTACTAATGGAGCTTCATGTTAAATTTAAAGTCCATTAGAACCACTGCTTACAGAGTGCCCTTGAAAAGTATGTTTGATTGCAGAATCATCCAAGCGTGATATGGAAAGCTCTCAAGCATTAATGGGTTTGGGAACACAAAGGTAGCTTCACTGGCTTTTTTTAGTCCTTCAGTGGCATCTGAAATATCTCCTAGGGAAAGCACGTGGTGTAAAAAGCGTAGCGTGTTGAAAGGGTGTATTTGTAAGGGGGGTGGGGGAAAGACTGGGTTCTGGGACTAAATCCTCTTGTGTGATGAATGCGAAAATGACAGAAATGTTCAAAATTCCCAGTGGGAAATCCATCTCCCCCTGCACAAAGGACATATAACTGCGCTCTATGCAGAGAACTAAGCCAGGTGGTGCTGAATTTGCCCACTCTGTTCGTGATGAGGTAGGTGAGTGTGGGCTAATGAAGGACCCTCCCCAGCATCCATTCCAGTCCGTGGGCATGGAAATAGCAATTGCTGCCCTTCTGCACACCTGTCGGGAATCCTGGGAGGCTGTGACCACAGCATGTGTGTTTTAATGACCCCATCTATAGTTCTGGGTACAATGGCAAGTACAAATCCACGCACTGCTGGCAGGTCACTTGGCCCAAGTCTCCCCCAGATGACCTACAACCTTCTGCCCTCTTTACTGCACTCTCCCTTAGCCTCTTTAAGGTTATCTCCATTTTATGTAGAGGCTCCTGTAGGAGCAGAGCATGAACTCAGTTGTTCAGCTGCTATACTCAGGGAACACAAAATAAAGACAATCTTTGTGATCTTAACTGTAATTCCATATGTCTCCACTTGCACACCTAATGGTTTCATAAATCTGCATGAAGAAGGCAGTAGGACAGGATGATCTGGAGTTGTGAGTGACGGTGCACAAAGCAGCCTGAAGTGCCTGACAGCAAGTTTCTTTTTTCTGCCAATTTGAAGTCTTGCACGATATGCACATTGTAGATGATGGATAGCCTGGTTAATGTGAGATGCCTCCACTTGGCTGCAGATGTGAATTGATTTACGTTTGAGAACCTTTTTTGTTGATTTGTGTATTCGGTTCTTTGGGAAGAGGCCTGAGACATCAGTATCCACAGAGGAAAAAGTATTGTCTCACAGGAGTATTTCTCAACTACCGCATCTGGAAACACAGCAAAGCAGTGCTGGTAGAGGCTAATATCCTCAGATTCCTTTGTTAGCAACATTTCAGTGTTAGCGTTGCTTTAGAACAACGAGGTTGTTGAAATTCTTGATTTCTTGTTTTTCAGAATGCTATTTTTCTAAGCTTGACAATTAAACTTCACTCCCCTCCGATTTTTCCTTTTTACTTTCTATTTGCTGAGATCTTACCTTTGCCCTTGTTGTAAATTGAACATGAAATTGGATTTATCTGAAATGGCTGTGGAGGGCGTAAATAAAATGGAGATATTTTGTACCTTCAGGACTGTGTCTGATAATGACAGGATTAAAGGAGGTTAAACTTAAGTTGCTTAAAATATTCAAGGGAGGTTTCAAATGCTTGAAAATGTGTGGTAGCTCTTAAACTTTTGAAAAGATGCTCCAATAGGTCACAAAAGATTACTTTTCTAATAACTATACAGGAAAAATATTTGGAGGCGGAGCCCCTGGTTTGGCAGCTGAATGTCTTCATTAACTGGTAACGGTTGTGGTTTTTTGCAAAAAGTCACTGACCATGCTGTATCAGTTTTGTATCTGATTATTTCTGTTTCTGAAGTTACCGTGCCCTACAGTTACTCAATTTAGAAAATGACAATAAAATGCACTAAAATAAATAGCAATTATGCTTCTAGAAGAGTTCTGGGGCATTTCGTCCACCGCCTCCCTTGAAATATTGAGGCAATCAGCAAAGCTATTGTTGTTTGACTCTGACACGCCGCATGCATTCCCTAACTGGTACCATTCATTCCTCTGAACAAGATGCTCTTTCATTCTTCATATGAAGACTTTTCCTTTGGATCAGTGCATATTCTTCAGTGGTGTACAGTAACACCTGGGCTAATTTTTAAAAAAGCTAGCTTGATAACCAGCAGCAGTCTGTCTTTGGCACCACAAAGCTGTCTTTTGAACAGATCAGATAAGTCTGTGGGGAGCTTAATATTATTGGTTCTCAGTTAAAACTGGCTTGAGCATCTCCTGCGTTACACTGCACTCTGTAGACCGTACATACCCTGGTAGTAAATTGTCTTGCATGCTGTACTCTGTGATTCTGCTGAAGGATGCTATAGAATCAGAAAGACTATGTGATAAGCTATCAACTAAATAGCCTTATCAGTTAAAAAATTTGATTAGCCCTTAAAACTTTTCTTGATAAATTTAGGGGAATAGTGTCCTTATCAGTTAAAAAATTTGATTAGCCCTTAAAACTTTTCTTGATAAATTTAGGCGAATAGTGTCCTGTCCTTAGAGTGGCACCTCTCTTACAAGCCACTAAGGAGTAGTGGAGAATACTGCATAGAAGAGGGTAATGCTCCTGGCATAGAGAACAATACAATAAGTAAAAGTTTGAATTCTGAAACTTATTCTTGTTTCCAAATAGTCCTAAGGAATAGCTCAGTGAGACTCCATCACGAGAAAGGCTCAGCGTGACGATGCATACAACTCCCTTTTTGGCATGGAAATGATTAGCAAAATTCCATGACCACAATTACTCCCTACCTCAGCTCTTGGGTGAATCAAGCCTCTGAGGAGGAGCCCATCAGAGCAAATGTTGCTTAGCTGGGGATGTTAAGCTAGTAATGCTAGCATTTGGATGCTAGCCGCCTTTAAGCACACATTGAGGGGAGCCTAATACAAACTGCTAGGGCCTTGTTGGTAGGTATTAGGGCAAGTAAAGATTTGCTGTGCATGGAAAAGGAACTGAAAACCAAACCCGATGAAGGTTTTCAAATTCAAATGTTGAACTGAATCAAATGCTGCTAAGTTCAGCTGGAGGAAAACTATCTGCTGATTATAATGGACACTGAATTTGGTTCTAATTTTGCTGCTCTGATACAGGCATAACATGTTGTCTTTACCTGACTCTAAACTACAAATCAGGAATACAGTGGTAGCAAATTTGAAGCATTACACTTACGTGTCGCTGCCTCTTGCAAATACCTTTGGAGAATGCACAAAAGGTTGAAAAAGTAACACAGTCCATATTAAGAGGTAGATGGAAAACCATATGCAAGTAAGATTTTGAGCACTAGGGGCTCATTTCTCTGACAGACCAGCTTAACAGCACTAGAGGCAATATATTTTAAAAGCAGCCTCACCAGCCTTGCACAGATTATACTCGCAGTCTTTTCCCTTTGCATATGCAAGGGCATAATTACATGGCATACAATGCATTTTGGGTCTGCACAATTGAGCAGTCCTACACGTGTATCTGGAAAGCTAGCCTTCACGTGGAAATTGCTTGCATATTGCAGTCATTTTGTATTTAAAAGTGGTCACATACATACACATGCACAAAAGAACTGCTTCAGCACGCCATCAGTGCTCATTACAGGGTACTGTGTCCATTGGCACAGATGGAAAACCTGCAAGGGTATGTCAGCATATTAATTCTCGAGAACCAAAGCCTGTGAATTCAAAATCTGGATTTGATAACTGGAAAGGCAGTGTTTACACTGTGATTTCAGTGTACAGTGTGTCCCACCAAATGAAAACCAGGATCTGTTTCAATCCTGATTGTTGATTAACAAGTGTGAGGGTCAAATCCACTAACAGTAATGGGAGAATAACTTTTGATCCATTGCAACTTAATAATAAAGCAATTTGTCCAGCACACAGAACAAGTAATTATGACAATTTCTACTATATAGGCAGAAAACAAGACAAAATACCTTTGCGTTTTGAAGACATGCTGCTTGTCCTTCCTTTGATACAAGACTGCAGAAAGGATCTTGCTTCGATGTCTGTAGATAATGTGCAGTAGCCTCTGCGTTGCGTTTACTATCTAACAAATTTCTGGAGCTGCAGAAGGGAAAATGAAGGGAGGGAGATGAGGACATGTAAACAAAAGATGATGCAGCCAGCAATGTATTTTTCAGCAGAACCTGGGACAACTACATTTGACCTACGTATCTTTTGCAGGAGGAATTGGGTGCCTTGGTCGTGACAGGGGACAGACACGGAAATGTCTTGATGCGGTGGAGATTTATAACCCTGATGGAGACTTCTGGAGGGATGGACCTCCTATGCCTTCTCCCCTCCTCTCCTTACGAACAAACTCTACCAGCGCAGGCTCTGTGGAAGGGAAGCTGTACCTCTGTGGAGGATTTCGTGGAGCAGGTACTAAAATGAGTCTGATATTCTTTACATAGTTGAAATCAGTTTCACTGTACACAGACTGACCTGATGACCGACCAACCCTATCAGGTGGCAGTGGCATGCCCTGGAACCACAGAGCTGATTCAGCCCTTTGGACTGTTGGCTCCTAATGTCAATATGAATTGTGTTCTGTTTGTCCTTTGCTTTTTTCTTAACAAAACATGAAAAATTAAGGATATTTCCGATGTGTGTTAAACCTGTCCAAATCTACATCCAGAGCTACTGAGATATCAGGAGCTTAGTGTGTTATGGACATTAAAGAACTTGGACATATTTGTTGAAGATTAAGGCACTATCCATCTGTCCTTAGCCAAGCTATCTAAGCTATCTGGCTCTGCCTATTTACTTACAAGCTTTTCATAATCAGTGTTGAAAAAGCTTGTGTATTTAATGAGGTACAAAGAGACTAAAATTCCAGATCTGGTGATTTCAGATAATCCTAGCCCTGTGGCCACCTTTCTCCTTTTAAGTCTTTGTCCTCCCAACTGTGCTTGGCTCTACCTAAATCTCCAGTATTGCTAACCATTTTTTTTTCTTTATAAGTGCAAAGAGTCTCTCAAAACATGCACTCTTAAACTCTCCTGCTACATAGCAGCTGCTACCCCAATTTCCTTTCTAGGCGAAAGCAGTAATACAGATGCATTATCCACTGCTAATAAATGTCGTGCCAGGCTCACTTTTGCCCAGGAATGGCCACGTGGTATCACTGGGTGACGTGTCCTTCACATTACACTGACTCCAGTTGCATCAACTTTTACTTGTATAACAAGCTCTAAACGTAAAGCTGCTGTTATTTTAGAATTATGATTTTCATCAGCTAGTTCACAACTCACCTTCCCCTCCCTTCATTTGCTACTGTTTGAGGAAGCTGCTTCCTGAAAACAACTGTATGGCAGCTCTCTAACAGGCATGTTCTTGTGTCATCTCTGATGGAAGTTCTGTGACCTCAGAGAAATTATGGTTATGATACATCACTGTGTTTCCATAGCAAGCATTGTGCCATCATATTTGTCTTTTTCTGAGCAGTATTAGGAAAAAACCTAAAGTTAGTGGATACAAATCTCAAAAGGCTGATCATTTGCACTGGCAAATGAAGCAATTTCATTCAAGGTGACTAACAGATTCACATGAGATTTTCTGAATAAGATAGCTTCAGAGCCATAAAAACACTCTGTACAATACCACCACGTTCTGTCACTGAGTCATGTATAAAGAGCGGTAGTACCGGGAGAGGTTGAAAGTCCCCCTGTGGATTTCAAGATGGCCATCTTTTGTATGTTTGTATAATGCCAGCTCAATGGGGTCCTGATTCCTGACTGTACTATTGCAATCTATATAATTGTGTATAGAACTCCCCTGCACTAAAAGTGTTATTTAGATTGGAAAACAAGAAGTCGCAGTTAGAAAATGCCGGTTTTGTAGTTACCTGTGCAACCTGAATTCTGACCCTCCATGCGTGCATTTTGTATACCAGTGAAGAAATAGTATGTGATTGTGGTGTTAGACATTATGATGTGTATTAACAAGGGGGCCAAAATAAGATTCTCGCTCTCAGTTGTAAATCAGATGTATCCAAATGTTTGAGGAGTTGAGAGGAAGCTGTGTCTTAAAGATGGGCTTCTTAATATGACTTCCAAGCTATTAAAGGAAAAGAACTTTCTAAATCTTCATAACAATAACAACTTCCAGCTACCATCATCAAGAAAAAGATGGGTGGAGTCCATATGCTGAACCTGAAGAGGTTATCTAGCTGGCCTCTCTTCTCTCCCTGGCTCCGTCTTCTCTGCATGCTGGAAAGAGCTCTTGCCTGATCTGCTCTTTGGGGGTGAAGAGTGGAGCGAGGGAGAGAGGGTTATTACTGTCATATGGGAACTTGGAGAGTGGCTTGACTCTGCTCTTTCACAATTACAGCTGCTCAGCAGCTTCAAGATATTCACAGAACAGAATGTGCTGCTGCTGCTTTAGTAGCAGATAGGGTTATTTTAGAATGTGCTCATTCGGTTTTAGGCTTTTGGGTTTCTTGGCATGCCACTTTGATTTTTGTGAGGGATGCAACCAAGAGAGGATATTCCAATTTTACAAAACATTGTAATTTAGTTTCAACCAAGCGGAGTTTTTGGAACAAGCTGGAGGCACAGCTGTAGTCTCTGGTTTTCCGCC